GACTCATAGTGACCCCCATTGGGTTTCTGAGGCTGTAAATCTTTATGGAAGTAGATCGCCCCGTCTTCCTTCCATGGAGCGGCTGTACCATATAGTTAGTTGAGTATGTATCTTTATCCCCAGCCTATCCCAGTCCATCTAACTACCTGTCAGTTTGTTTTTACTGTGGTGTCTTGCATGTTGCTATGATGCTGGAAGCTGTGCTACTGGTATTTCAGATAAACCACCAAGGTCACCCATGGTGGACAGGTTTCATTGGAGCTTCCAAACTAGGAAGAAATTAGTGAATGAAAACCTTATGGAGCACAACAGAGTGTTTAACTCCTTGCTTTGGACACATCAGGAGGGATCAGTCACTAGAGGAGGACATGATGTTTGGTGAAATAGAGGGCCAGCGAAGCCATAGGAGACCCTTGGTAATATGGATTGGCCCAATAGCTTATGGACTCAAATGTGCTGGTAGCTGTGAGAAACATGCAAGATCAAGTATCATTTCATGCTCTTGTACATAAGGTTGCCATGAGCTGGAGGTGACTTGACGGCAGCTAACAGTAAACGATCCGAGTCCATGCCTGCTCTTGGAAAGTAATCATGAGCAGTGTGGCAATGACTGAAGATGGATTAAAGAAATTTTTACTGAAAAGGCTAACTTTGTAAATAGCTGGAAAAGGCATATGTTACCCTTTATTTTCCACTTGCTGTTATCTTTTTCTTCTACTCAGTGCATTCTAGAGTGGGCATCCCACCCCCTGAGGTTCTCTCACAAGCCCTAGTTTAAGTAATACTTCATAAAATTTCTGCTTACCTGGTTTGGGTCTAGCTCACGTTTTTCTGAAAGATTTTATATTCATGCTTGCCTGTGTTTAGGTGTTATAACATATTTTTGAATATTTAGATATTTCAAGAATGATTGGGAGGTACAGGACCAGGCACTGTTTTGTTCTGTTGTACATTGGGTCACTATGAGTTGGAACTGACTGGACAACATCTAAACAACAACAGAGGTATTTTGAGACTCCAGAGAACGGTGCCATAGAACTCTGTATGAAGTAGTGAGTTCTGTGGGTATGTTCAGGTCGCCAAGAGTTGGAATTGACTTTGAGGGCAACTGGTGGATTGGTTTTAATGGCTGTTATTAAGGGGCTAGGCCAAAGAGGGGGTGATAGTGTGGCTGGAGCCATTCTGGAAATGCAGCCTTCACTGCCAGGCCATGGCTGGAACCCAATGTAAAGCAGCTCTGGCAGACCCTAAGATTTGGAATGGAACTAGCCTGGGAAAGGGTGACCCACCCAAGAAGCCAGAGCCAGACCTTCAATAACTGAATAAACCTGACTCTCTGTAGATAGGATACCATAAAGTTTCTTTCTGTTCTTTTGAAAATAACTTTCATTTTTTGTTTCTGTTTATTTTTGATAGTAAAACTTAAAACACTCTCATTTTGGAAAAGCTGGAAAATTCAAAAACAGGGTATCAAGTTCTTTAATCTTAAGAAATTGCATTTATCTATAACAGTATTTAAATTTTTTTTTCCCCCTTCTAGGCAAAGCCAAAGCTAATTGAGCCACTGGACTATGAAAATGTCATTGTTCAGAAGAAGACACAGATCTTGAATGATTGTTTAAGGGAGATGCTGCTTTTCCCTTATGACGACTTTCAGGTAAATAATAAATTTCTATAACTAGAGTCATGTGGTTGATTGTTACAAATAATTCTTTTTACTATTTATTATTTGGTTGGCTTATTTGTGATTTTAAAAGATGAAAATGCTATTTAAGAGTGAAAAGTTATATCATTATATTCTTCCAGGCATTCCTTCATGAGTTGATATTTTTTTAATGGTATATTCAAGTATGTGTGTGTGTGTGTGTGTGGCGGGGGGAATCTTGAATAAAAATGCTCTCCCTGGGCTGATTTATTGGGCACAAGTGCCTCCTGTGTCTTTTGAGATTTGTTTAAAGGGAACTTTAGGTTTTTTGCCAAGTGCCTTAGAGTCTTAAAGACGGGGTTTGCTGGGAGAAGTGGAGCATTCTGTAATGCATCCTTTTGGGATGACACTTGGGGAGACTATCTTCAGAGAGCCGTTAAACTTATCTGTGGGCTCACAGTGGTGAGTTTAGGGGTTAACTGAGAATTTCATGAGGTCTTCCCCTCCAAAGCAGTGTAGGTTTTCCTGAATAGTTCCCCAAAAGAGCTGTTCCTTGAAGGAAAGCTGTAGCTCAGTAGCTGCTAGTAGATGACTTGGCACAGGTACTGCGGTGAACTGCTCTCTAAAGGTGATGGTGGAAGTCTTTCAAGTTGTGACCAGTGTCTAATTGACCTGCGTAGACTCTTTGAGGCTACTGAGGTGTGAGAATAGTAGTCTTCCTCTAGGAAACCCAGTGCTGTCAGATGCCTAACAACCTGGAATCACCTAGGTATATTTGGAAATACTGGCTACTTGCCTTGCTCTCCTGGGATACAATCTTAATTCTCCTTTCTTCTCTACCTGAATGTGCTGACCTATATGTTTTTCTGCCTGATGCTATTACCACCCAGACCCTGTAAAACAGACCTATTTTCTGTGAACTAAGCTTGCCCTAGTTTTAAAGCTTCACTGACTCT